CTGTATAATGTTACAAGTTTGGTTTGCTGGGTACAAAAGGACTGGAACCAAGTTTGTTTGCTACAAGTCGCCATCTTAAATATAGTTGACCGGTCCTTGCATTACCCCGCACAACACCGCTGAAACTACTAATAGCAAACACTTCTTTCCGATAAATCGGCATTTAATCAATATTTGTTTTATTTAATTTTGATCATTGGTGTTGTACCTAAATCAAAGCTTAATTGTGGGAAGTAATACATGTTATCGATATATTCCTATGAATGATACATTTCTTACATATAACCTGGACTTATTGTATTTTTCATTTTTCCTAAATTATTGGTGCTACTATTTGCGCCTTCCTAATTAACCACACCATATTTAACTTAAATATTGTGTCTTATATCAATATATCACATTTCCCAATTCTTGGAACACGTCACGCAATATCCCCCAGGGGGGATGTTCTGTGGAACACGTTTCCAGAATGATCTGACAAAGAGTACTAAAATAATACTGTGGCTTACAGCTATGGAGTTTCACCATATGCGTGTAATATTGCTTCTAGTAGTTATAGTTGCGATATATATAGTTCACTTAAAGCAAGCAGGGCCGACAGAAAATCCGAAGGCCTGATTAGATTCCCCGTAGTCGATTGGAAGAAAGTCCGTCAAAGGCAGCTGATCTATTTGCCTCGTTCGAATTTCAAAGACTGTCTTGGATTTACCCTGTCGAGCCTTGCATTCATCCGCTCGCACTTCGGGTCTCAAGCCTTTATAGGAAAATTCTTGTCCGCTACTTCCTAATAATCGAATCCCCATATCGTATGTGTGGCTGCTGGTATCGTACCAGGCGACTGCATTCAAACATGAGTAAGTAAAGTTTTGGTATCCCTGTTCTGATGACAGTCGAAGGAATGCCATCTGGGCCATGCCCACGCCCTCGTATGTTATCTAGACATTTCAATAATCAACCCTTGCTTATGTGACAAAACGAGACTGACCAAATTACCTTTGAACCTTTCTCAAATTCCGAGAACCATTTTTGAACAGTACCTTTCCTTTTCCATGGAATGTTGGGCATGCTAGCGCTGTATTGGTCAGGATAAATGCACGTTTCTCCTTCGTCCGTCATGTTGCAAAACACGTAAATAGCATCGTCGCTCATACCCAAATTGGGGTCTATCCAGTACCAACCTTGGAGACATACAAATTTTAGATAAGCGCAACAGAATACGGGATTCTAGTCAACATGGAAATCACGCTTTAGCTTACCGTCGCTGTAGTGCGATTGGCTGTAATACAAATCTCGGCATGTTTTCGCCGGGTTTTCTCTATTTCCCAAAGGTTTCCGTTCATTTTCCAGCTGCATTCTCATCGCGTAAATACTCGTGTACATATCCATAAATTGAACATTGATATCGTTCTTATTAATCGAATCGCTCTCCTGCGAATTATTTATGTTTTCTTGTTGCTCATTAATTTTTCTTTCAAATTCTGATCTACAATTGAGCAGAATAAAATAGAGAAAAGGGTTTTTGGCTTAGAAAAATAAAACCACTGACAATAATTCCACCACAGCTCTCCTACGTCTGGTAACTCCTTTATTTGAACCAGACTCTTGGATCTGGAACAGCAACTCCGGAGGGATCAGTGGCATATCCGCTGGAGGACCAGGTGGGCCCGCCGGCCCCGTCGGGCCCGTTTCGCCCTTTTGACCAGCAGCTCCTTCTGATCCTTTTGGTCCTGATGGGCCATCTTCTCCCAGCAACCCTTGAGGACCATCGCTCCCTTTCAAACCTTGTGGCCCAATGATGCCCTGAACGAAACAATATCAATTTGGGAAGCCGATCTGTCTGAAGATAATGCATTTCCTCTTAACGCGAATGCTAACGTAGCG